CGGGTGCCAATGAGATCAGAATCTGGCCCATGTGGCACTGAAGTCCCTTGGGGAATGACTCCAGATTTACATCACTGACAGTGATGTGAATCTGTCCCATGGTGCCCTGAAGCCAGTCACGGAGTGACTCTGGATTGACACTGCTGGGGAGGATCAGAATCTGGCCTGGGCGCTCTCGGAAGCAATTTGTTTCCTTGGGTCACTGCTGCTGTTTTGGGCTTGGCAGCTGATGGCTGTTTCCAAGAACTCATTGCTGTTCCCACCCGGGTTGGGAGGGAGGGGAGGCCAGGCTGGCTGAGGACAGAGCGTTCCCTCCCTGGGAGGGGCTCGGCTGTCCCACCCCCTCTCCCAGCCTCAGGATGCAGCTTCCCTCGCCAGACCACCACAAGCGGGAGCCTCCATTCCCAGCCCTCAGCCCTAAAAATTCTGCTGTGATGCAACCCGCCTTTTCCAGCCACAGGAACCTGCCGAGAACAGGACGTTTCTTTCCTAGCCCTGCCGCTGCCGCACAGTGGAACCCCCCGCTCCTTGGCAGGGACAGCTCTGGCAACAGAACGGCTTGAACTCCCCTCCCAGCTGCCGCAGGAGGCTCTCCATGGTCTGCTAGCAGCAAAGGGGCTAGGCCACACAACTGAGCAGTCCCAATCCCAACCAACAGGGAGCAGCAGAGCACCCACCCGGGTGCCAGGCACTGTACAGTTCAGTGCTATTAGGTGTATTACAGCAGCATGTTACTCAGGGATTTTCAGACTTGGGTTCACGACGACTCCAGCTTAGCTAATGAAACTCTGGCCCCAATGCTGGCTTGTCCCTAGGACACGCTCGGCCCCGCCCAGGCAGAGTAGCCGCGGATTTTCAGGTGCCGAACAGGAGCGGCTCTGGGGCAGATTCCCGGAAAGCATAAGCTGCAGCGGAGCCTGGCAGGTGGGTTTTTCCCAAGCCTGCATGACTAAGAGAGACGCATTCCTCCCTCGTGAAGAGCACCGGGCCTGGGTCCTTTTGAAACACGCAGGGGCCTGCCAAGCAAGGAGCATGGGTGAAACCCTCCACAGGTATTTCAGCACCCAACTCCCGCTGAACACAGCAACCGTTGATCCTTCTAGTGATCCTTCTCTCCCTCTAGCTCGGTGGCCTCCAACCTTTTTACTCCAACCCAAATGTCAGGCCAAGCCAAGATCTACCCCACCCCTTCCCTGAGATCCTACCCTCTCCAGTCCCCTCCTCTCCATCATTTGCATTCCCCAGACCTTACTCACGCTCACTGGGTTGAGACAGGATATCGGCTACGTCTACACTGGCATGATTTTCTGGAAATGCTTTTAACGGAAAAGTTTTCCGTTAACAGCATTTTCGGAAAAGCACGTCTAGATTTTTGCAGAAAAGCGTCCGTGGCCAATCTAGACGCAGTTTTCCGCAAAAAAGCCCCGATTGTCATTTTCGCGATCGGGGCTTTTTTGTGGAAAACAGTACTGTGCTGTCTACACTGGCCCTTTTCCGGCACAGATTTCAGGAAAAAGACTTTTGCCTGAACGGGAGCAGCATAGTTTTTCCAGAACAGCACTGATGATTTTACATGAGATCGTCAGTGCTTTTCCGGAAATTCAAGCGTTTCCGCAAAAAAGCCCCGATTGTCATTTTCGCGATCGGGGCTTTTTTGTGGAAAACAGTACTGTGCTGTCTACACTGGCCCTTTTCCGGCACAGATTTCAGGAAAAAGACTTTTGCCTGAACGGGAGCAGCATAGTTTTTCCAGAACAGCACTGATGATTTTACATGAGATCGTCAGTGCTTTTCCGGAAATTCAAGCGGCCAGTGTAGACAGCTGGCAAGTGCACTGATATTTTAAAAGAAAAAAGAAAAGAAGCAGCTCTAGAGAAGTGATTATTCCCAGGATTTAATTTGTTTGTTTGGCTTTTGGATTACTATCGCTGATGGGTTAAAAAAAAAGCCCTGCTCTCTATGCCCCGTGAATGGAGGAGGCGCTTTGAAATATCAGGCTAAGAATATCAAGTAAATCCTTTAGAATAGCAAGCTAGTTTTATCTCCTCAGCTCTCTTTGCAAGGTATGTGGGGTCAGGGTCCTCAAGTGTCACTCTAGCTAGTTAGTCAACTGTTCAATTTCCCAAATGTAAAACAAAATCTAATATCTCCTCCCACTCCAACAAACTGAATTTGTCTTACGAATCTTTGAAAGTCCCCTGCTATTCTCATCTCTTCAAATGCTAAGTTTTACTTGGGGCTAGATTTTCAAAGATATTTAGGAACCTTCATCTGCAGATGGGTGCCTGACTGGAGTTCAAAAGCATCAAACCTGCTAAGATTCATAACTGCTATTGATTTTAATGGTAGATAGTCAGCTAAGTAGATTATGTGCCTTTGAAAATCCCAATACATACTTATCTGCATATTTATGCACCTCAACATCTTTGGTAATGAATTTTGAGCATGTATCACCAGATTTTCAAACTGCACTATTTTTATCAATAAATAGCTGCTCTCCTTGAGAGTTAGTGGCACTGCTATGAAGATGCCATATTGACAGGTAATTCTAAAAATAATGTATCTGATACATAATCATTTATCTATACAAGGGAAGTAACTAATAGCTGATGTCTTTTGGTGACCAAGAAAATCTATTTTTACTGAAACTTCTCAGCTGTAGGTATCGTGCTTAAATTCCTTAACAATTATTTACTCCACACAAAATGTACTCTACACAAGGATGGAAAAAATCAGTGGGAATACTGGTGACAAGCTTAAAAAATCTTGAGGGTAAATTTTTAGTGCTTGAAAAAAAAATCCGACAGCTTAAAGTTATCATTTTTATTGGAGCTGGTCAAATAAAGGAGAAAACCCTGATATTTGAGGGGGATCCAGGCTGAAGAGTGTTGGGTTAGGTGGAGGGTTGAGGTGCTGGAACAAGCTGCAGGCTTGTGGATGTGGGGCTGCAGGAGTTTGGGTTGGGGTGCATGAGGGGCTCAGGGCAGGGGGTGTATGATGGGCTCAGGGCACAGGTTTGTGGTATGTGGGTGGTGCAGGCGTTTGTGGCTCAAGACTGGGAATGTGGGAGGTGCGGGAGTTTGGGCAGAGGGTTCAGGTGTATGACGGGCTCAGGGTTGGGGTCTGTGGGGGGTGCAGGAGTGTTCTGATGCTGTGGCCAGATGGGGGCTTGGCCCCAATTGGGGGCTTGTTGGCCAGGCTTCATTTTTAAATAAAATATTATGGCCAACCCAAAATGTTTCAGCGTTGTCTTTATTTATGGGAGGGGTGAGGAACATTTTTTGGGTCAGGGGCCACTGACCCACAGAAAAATCAGTCGGGGACCCCACAAGTGAGAAACAAAAAAGAATCCCTCCAAAATCCCCCCAACCCTCACTGATGTGGCCCCAACTGAGTACACCTCCCTCCCTGGCACTCCAGCCCCATGGTGGCGGGGGAGGATAGGTAGGACTGAAGTTCAAGGCCTCAGGCCAGATTAATTCTTCTGGAGTTGCAGGGTTAGTGGATTTTGTGCCCCCCCCCCCCCCCCCACCCG